TTCTGCAGGACATTTTCACTCCTGCCACAGTGGAACCAACTAACCACGCCAGCAGACTCCCTTTCAAACGTCAGGACAGACGAATACGCCGAAGATGTCTCAGCCGCGCTCTCTGAGTCACAGAACAGACTGGAAACCCGTAGGTGAACACCACTGACTGCCAGCTTTCTGCAGGCGAAGCTCCTTGGAGGAAGCCATTTGCCTCTCCTCAAGATCATCAAAGTCTGCAATGGAGTAAAGACAGGTTTGAAACATACACGCCTGAGGCAGACCCACGAGAATTAGATCCTGAAGTCTGCAATGCCGCGGCGGTGCTTACAGAGCAGAGGAATAAAATACCCTGACAAGACCAACCGTGAGTGAGAACAGGGCCATTTGACAGACAATTTCAGGTTACAGCTCATCACTAGGGGAAAATCAAGGCAGGGACTTGAAGCTCCTCGTCACATCCACAGACAAGAGCAAAGAGAAATGAATAATTGAATGAATGAGTGAGTGAGTGAATTAATGAATGTTAGTGTTTAGTTCACTTTCTCCAGTCATATAGTGCAGGAAACAAACCTAGGGACTGGTGCCACCCACTGTGGTCCGGGTCTTCCATATTAATTAATATAATCAAGGAAAGGCCCCACAGACCAACCTGATAATTTCTTCCCAGGTGATTTTCGATTGTGTCAAGTTGGCAATTAAAACTCACCATCATATCAACTTGAAACTATTTTTATACACAACAAGCAATAAACGGAACAAAAGCCACTGTGTGTTGGCAGCAAATCTACCAGCTTTCTGCTCCATGACCCACAAGTTTCATCCCAGAGCACCGCCTTTCTCTGTCATTTGTTTCTCTTTGCCTTTTCTTTTTTGTTTCTGTTCCTTTTTTTAAGTCTCTGCATGTCTGCTCGGTCTGTGCTGCTTACTTTTGAGGCATTCCACAAAGTTTATTACTCCATTTCCGCTAATAAGTCAAAAACCACCGAGACAGCAGACGCTGTCAACAGGAAGAGGTACACGAGAAGAAGCCTGGCGAAGAGGAGCCAGATGCAGGCAGAGATAACGGCAGGTCATGGAACAGGGGTTCAAGCCAAGTGGAATCCAGTTTCCCAGGACTTCAGGGTTCAGGTGACATCTGCACTGTACAAACAAGTTGTCTTTGACCCTTGTGCAAATGGTTTATTTAAAAGGTCCCTGGAGATCCCAGGCAGGGCAGGGCACAGCTGGAGGAAGAATGGACCGTGCTGCTAGGGGCTGGTCTCAGACAAGCATCAGCTTCTACCCGGCCTAAGGGACTTTGATCTACATTCGGGGCTAGAGAGCCAGCATCACGGTACTGCCACAGCTATTGTGGAAGGTCCTTCTGGAGGAGCCGCACAAGGTGGACAGGACACCAGTGACCTGCAGATAATCCTTAAAGCTACTAGGAAGAACGTCACACACTGAAGTTACAGGAACAACTCAAGGTCACCCTAGTTTTGTGTCCTCACTGCCCCCTGATTGGTGGTGATCTGTCTCCCTGGTAACCACAGCTGCCTTGCCTAGGTTTCTTTTCTTTTCTTTTTTCCTTTTTTCTTTTCTTGATTTTTTGAGATAGGGTTTCTCAGTGTAGCGTTGGCTGTCCTGAAACTCACCCTGTAGACCAGGCTGGCCCTGAACTCACAGAGATCCTCTTGCCTCTGCCTTCTGTGTGCTGGGATAAAAAGTGTGCACCACCACTGCCTGGCACATTTTTCTTTCGATCAAGAAATAAAGCCCTTCCTCCCTTGGGCGGATCAGAGGAGAAATCTAGAGCAGCCTCCAGGAGACGTCCCACGGGCACACTAGACTCAGATGTGACAGCCACCATACTTAGCTCTGAAGGTCCTGATATAACCAAAGGCTGGGTGGGATGCAGAGCCATGAGCAAGTGACTGGAAGAAGTAAGGATCCTGACCTCAGGCCTGGCAAGCCCTTTCATTCTCTCTGGGGCTCCAGAGGCAGGTTGATTCATCGTGTGCAGATGGAAGCATTAAGTTGTCATAATTTGACTCATTTAAAATTTGCATAATAGATTTGATTGCTTCCACTCTTCCTCAGTGTTTATACAACAAAGCTTCTGAGTGTAATTTGGCATCTTTAATTTGGCTTATTCACGTTGTCTAAGCCTCATAGAATGCATCACTTTTTGCAAATGCGGCTTTAAAGCAATTCAGCGGATGAAGATAGTTGTGGGCTCCACTCTGTCTTACCTGCAGTCTGTGTGCAAACACATTCAACTGCTCAGTCCCCACAGATATGTAATGAGATAGGAATCTCAGACATAAAAGCAGCAATCAACTCAAACTTGGAGGACTATCCATGGGATATCTAAGTTGAGTTATGCCAGTGGGTTAGCAGATTGGATCCCAAAACCCATGGGGCTGGACCATTGTGCACTGCGGCCTTCTGTGTCCAGTTACCTATTAATCACTCCTGGAGGCAGACAAGATCCAAAGTATGAGCCAGATTGTGAGTGGAAAAGTAACATTTTGGAGACACCCCCCACACATACACACACACACTCAGTCTCTCCTGGGCAGAATTGTGTCATACTCCCATCAGGTTGGTGCAACTTCCTGATTTCACTGTCTGGCCAGGGACTTCTCTATCTCCCTTGTATTCTGATTGCAGGGCTGTGGCATAACATTTGGGGGGGGCATTGTTGGGGATCTACATTGGGCCTTTGGCATTTAAGACGAGCTTTCTACAACTGAGAATGTGATTTGAGTGCCCAGCATGTTTTTTGTGAGTTCTGTAACCAAACTCAGGTCCCCATACTGGCAAGGCAGGCACGTACCCCTGAAGCCAATCCCTTGTCAGCCACAAAAAGCATGTGAGAAATGCAAGCAGAATTATCTTTGGGTCAGAATCTATTTAGGGATGGGCAAGATTATAGTCTGCCTTGAAAGAAGAAAGAAAGACAGAAGAAATGCTGGAGAGTTAAGAAAAGGTAGGGGGAGCAAAGGGGGAACATAAAAGAGGAGAGGGAAGATAGAATAATAAAAATTGAGTTGCCCAGAAGTGGAAACCAGACATTCTAAAGCTGGCAGATGTAAACATCAAGAGGAAAGTGAAGAGCCAAATGAAGACAAACCAAACCCAGACAAGTGCAAAGCAGAACTCCGCCCAAGATGGACATAGGGAAGCATTTTTCTTCCCGAAGAATCTTCCCAGAGATTTACACTAGAAAACCATATCGCTTACAATGTGCAAGTCACTGAACCAGTCTTTACATGCCTTCAGTAGCGGATGATTTCAAAGGCAGAGGGAGTTTGGGGAGGGCACGGTCAGCCTGAGGAGAGGGCAAAAGCTCCACAGTGAGAGCCTGAACAGTTCTCCTACCCGGCAAAGAATGTGGAGCTTACCAGGAAATCCTGTTCTTTGGTAAAATACAGTTTTATTAGTGCAGATATCCCCACCTCAGGAAAACAGCTACTATTGTTGCTGGGAGAGGAGGTGTTTTTGTGTTTGCATCTGTGAGTGGAGAGCCATGAGCTATGCTGGGAATTTGTGGGAACGCCACTCATTGTGGGAATTCTTCCAACTCACTGCAAGAGCCCAGTTGCCCTTGCAGGAGGCCATGAGGGTTTACCTTAATACCTCTTGAGTCTTAACAAAAGGAGAAGAACAATTAATTAAGAAAAGGACTTTCTTCCAGAACACAGAAAACCAAGTTAGAGAAAAAGCTGGGCCATGGCCACCAGGGTCCAATTTTGGCCTGAATAAGGTCACTAGGAAATAGGGGCCACAGGAAAGACATTTTTCACTTGAAAGAAAGATAGAGATGAGGTGCTGAAAAGTTGGTGATGTGGGATTTCCCTCTGTATGCTGTGATTACCATTAATGAGTAAAGAAACTGCTTTGGGCCTATAGCAGTGCTATAGGAAAACAGAGCTAGATGGGAAAAAAACAAATGGAATGCTGGCAGAAAGGAGGTGGAGTGAGGGAGAAGCCATGTGGCCTGCCAAAGACACCAGGAACTTTACCTGGTAAGCCACAGCCACATGGTGATACACAGATTAATGGAGATGGGTTAAATTAATATGTAAGGGTTAGCCAATAAGAAGCTAGAGCTAATGGGTCAACCAGTGATTTAATTAATACAGTATCTATGTGATTATTCCAGGGCTGAGCAGCGGGAAACCAGCAAACAGCTCTCTCTTCCATCATGTTGGGTTGGTGGTTAAGGGTGCTTCTTGCTCTTCTGGGGGACCCAACAGCTACATCAGACCGATCACAACTGCTTGTAATTCCAGCTCTAGAGGATCTGACCCCTCTTCTAATCTTGGTAACCTGCACATGTGTGGAAGACACATACATAAATATAATAAATAAATAAATAAATAAATAAATAATACTATTTTAAAAAGATAGAGATGTGGATATAACATCCAAAGAGTTCGGCCAATGAGCTCACCAGTTCTTCAAGTCTCCCTAAAATAAAAATAAACACATAAAATATGAAAATAAAAATGACAGTGTTGTAAACATTTGACAGGATGAAGGTAATCCCCATCACATTCTTTCAATAGGAAATGAAGAAACAAATTCATAGAATTTCCTCTGGGGCCCATGGTAGGCAGAGTTTTCCTGTGCTGTCAGATGCTTTCAAATAACCACTCAGAGGCTTAATATTAATTTTAAATGCCCGTCCAGTAGTTCAGGCTTATTACTAACTAACTCTTATAGTTTAAAGTAACCCATACTTCTTATCTATGTTTGCTATGTGGCTTGGAACCTTTTCTCTGTATGGCATGTCCATCTTGCTTCTCTGTGTCTGCTGACAACACTAGACTCCGCACTTCTTCATTCTTGCATTCTCTCTTTGGCTGTCCCTCAGCATCCGCCACATTAATCTCACAAGTTATGCCTGTAGGTCGCTATTTGCAAACACAATCGGGTGCTGTACCCTTTGGGAAGGCTCAAGTGAGCACCATTACCTGTTCGGAGGCTGTGTTAAAACTGGTCATTGCCCACCTGTGAGAAGAAGAGGCAGGTTAAGCCAGAGGAAGTGAAACATGTCATCAGATGCATATGACACAGTGGCCTGTGCTATATGGTAAGGATAGGGACTGGGGCCTGGATCCATTAAGTTCGGGTGGAGTTGGGTCATTTTAAGATCATTAATAAAGATTTTCGTCAACCGAGAGAGAACCTATTTCCTCTGTAGAAGTTTTGTAAAGCGTGGTGCTCTGCTCTTCCAAAGTATGTCTCTATAGCCCTCCACAGTAGAAGACTGATGTGTTTGGAATGAGACCAAACCACATTTGCATCACACTTTGCGATTTTATCCACTGCTAAATAGCACTGCCAGGCTTTGAATGTGAATGACCAAATACTCATTTCGCAATTTTTCATAACACACATGGGGTCTAGAACCCGCAGCAAATGGAATGTTGTGTCGTAGGAAATTAATATTTAAGATGTTGGTGACCTGCTGTCTGAAAGGATTAGTCTTGTGGGCAGTGAAACCAGAAAGGCTGGTTATACTATTTCAAAAGAACATCTTAAGATTGTTCTATAGGTTGAGGCCTCAGACATGCACAACATAAAAGTGTTCATTACAGCTGTGGCCGACTGAGGCCGTATGCTTTTTATTCTATTGGAAAATAAAGCTGTCGTGGGAAGGCCATAGCTGAGAGACAAGAAAGAGAATGAATCTTTCACCAACTTCATCCTGGTGCGGACAAGTTTCCTCAGACAGGAAACTACTTCCTCACAGAGGACACTACTTCCTCATGCAGGAACTGCAAATGGGGCCACCATGGGAGAGCTGTGGCTAACCAGCATTGTCTAGATTCCACAGAACTACAGGCACAATACCTAGGACTGAGCACTGACCAATCAGGGACACTGTATTTGCATCATAGGAATTGCATGCTGGGAAATTATATGCATGTGGGTCCCTCTAACTGAAAAAGAAATGCTTCTAAATGGAAAGTACTGGAGCCATCTTGAGCATTCTTTTCCTACTCTGACCTCTGTTTCATGCTATGAAACACCCTGAACAAAATTATTTTCCTCACATTCTTACGCTTCCTCCATGACTGGAACTTGACATGAAACTAGCTTATTCGTCTCAAGTGACTGCTGCTATGAAGTGGGAGGAAAGAGCAGTCGGCTTTACAGAAAAAGTCTGAGCAGGAACTCTATGTTCTAGGCACAACAGCAAGTTGAGCGAGAGAGTTCTAGGCATGATGAAGCCCAGGAGTGTGCTACGTGACAAGAGAGCACTCAGTGCAGCCAGAGCTCACTTCTGATCAGTCTGCACTAGCGTTCAGAAAAGAACAAAGAAGAAATTGTCATTCATATAGAATCACAGGCTTAAATGATTGAGAAGAAACTCTCTGTCGTCACATATGCTGAGTTCGGCCTCCATATTCAAATATATAAAACCTTTCCCCATCACTGACTAACTACAACTTCCCCATGTCACTGGTCCCTTAAGTCTCAACTGGACTTAATTGTGTTATTTTCTTGCAGATGGCTCATGAAGGTTAAATGGGAAAAATCGGAGCAAGCACATGACAGAGTCGGTGCTCACTCTCCATTATCTTTGTGTGGGGGTTCGAGGCCACCACTATTGTTGTCCATTCTGCTCCACAACTTGGTGGAAGAGAGAGTGCTATTTACTAGTCCAACATGCTCTAAAAAAGGACAAGATGGTGAAGACATAAAACTGTACAAAGGAAAGCAAAAGGTCTTGGTGTGGCTGACACCAATGGAGTTCCTTCATCTACACTCCTTATCACCTTTCCCTAATCCTTCAGATCCCGGCCACTTGAGCTGGTTTCCTCCAATTACACAAATGGAGGAATTAGTCCCCTTTCCCTCTGAGTTGCTTGGCTACACCACGCTTATGCCTACTCGTAAGTCTTCATCTTCTTCTCGCGGAGTTTCATTCCGGGACTTTCTTGCCAGTTAATTCAGGGAAATGTCTAATGATTCATTTCTGATTCCAAGTCAGACACAAGTGCTTTTGACATGATACATAGTTCTGGAAATGCTTATTTATGTTGAAACCAGAAGATATTTTAAAGCAGTATCTCCACTTTTGGTCAAAATTGATTTTGTTTTATTTATTTTTATATATAAACATATACATGCATGCACACACACACACACACACATACACACCTGCAGAAGTTAGGAAAGGACACAGAGTACCTGGAGCTGTAGTTGCAAGGGAGGAGTGACTGCCAAACATGAGTGCTAGAAACCAAACGGATCTGAGTCATCTCTCTAGTCCTAATGAAATGTGTTTATGGGTAGTAAGACACTAGACACAAAACACCCTCAAGTGTAGACATATAACCTTACACCAACACTGGAAACCTCACAGACATATAACCTTACACTAACACTAAAAATCTCACTTTATGGTGTAGATTTTGGAGGGAAACAACATGGTATTATGATCAGTATGGGATCTCAAACAGCCGTACTCCCTCTGTTAGCCTCCAGAAAAGAACAAAGAGGCCGGTGGGTCCAGTCATAGGAGATATTGCTGAGAGGGAGCTCCCTTTCTGTCGTCAGTGAAAAGAAAGTGGGTGCCCCTCTGACACATGGTGACAGGAAGCCTTGGAATTGCATGGATGTGTTTTCAAAACTTCTGTTTCGGGAAGCTGTCTGCAGGACCCTTTACACACACACTCCCTGGTGCACGATGCATTTTGAGTTATGCTGTATTGGGTGCATAGTAAAATTTATCATGCAAACCTATGAAATTCCAGACTGCTTTTTAAGCAATGCATATACAAAGGACAAGGCTTTCTGAAATTTCTGGTGTAATAAGACCAAGAAAGCAATCTAGGGCTGAAGATAGGTTCAGGGATCATTTCTTTTGTTCTTGTTAGGGACCAGAGTTCAGTTCCTACCACTAATACCAGGAGACTCACAGTTGCCTGTAACTCTAGCTTCAGGAAATGGGATAGCTTCTTTTGGCATCACTGGCACCTGTACGCATATGCAAAAGCCATACACATACGCATAGTTAAAAAGAAGTCTTTTTTTTCTTTTTAAGGAAAATAATCTGAACTAGACACTTTATGCCAGGAAATGAAGAGGTGGAGAAATATTGCAGTTTTTTTTGTCTGTTCATTATTCGTATGACACACGCACACATGCACACACCACATTTTTGTGGTGATAGTAATTCAAAAATGCATGGCCTTTGAATCACCCCCAAGTAGCCCTTTCTGTTGTTATTGAAGGGGAATTCGCTATCTTTTGTTGTTGTTGCTCTTAAAATCAGTGTTTGGGGCCATAAGGAGGCTTGGATAATAATAAATTCCTTTAAAAGACAAAAATGTGTTTTTTCCCAAATCTATTGCCCGGAACAGACAAGGCAGCATCTTCCCTAGGGGGAAACGAGGAACAAATGGTGATGTCAACACAGGAAGGCTGTTGTGAGGAGACAGCCCCTGCCACCCTGCTAAGAGAAAAGCAGGAAGCCAGGCCTGTTGGCCCTGGGGAGCCTATGAGAAGCCTTCTGTGGAGCCAGCAGGGGGAAAGAAGCACCCCCTGACCCCCCCATGCAGGTCAAAGATGACTTCTCACGCTTCTCCATTCCTCCATGCAAGATCAGTTTCTAAATCTGTGTGCAGTGCCAGGGATAAAGTCCTGGTGCCCCTGTGCCTGCTCTCCCCAGGGCAGGGCTAGAAGATGGGGAAAGGACCTTATCAGGCTTAGCAAACATTGTCAAATGATTACATAGACTGTCTCTAGGGGGAAAGGAGCTTGCACGGTCTGTTAGGACTGTTGCTCTAGCCAAGGAAGAAGTCTGATGTCCCGGATCCCCTCTCTGCATAATTTCATGAGAGCATAGGCCAGGAAGAATCTACGGGTTGGGGTTTGGAAAGGTTCACGTTAAATATTGGCCATGTGTTTGGTTGGTTGTTTATGTGTAGGGTTTAACATGGGTCAGCTCTCTAAATAGCAGAACATAGATAACCTTGAACTCCTGATTCTCCTCCTACCTCCACCTCCCAAGGGCCCTGATTAACAGTGTATGACATCTCACCCAGCTTGTGCCTTGTGGGCATGGAACCCGGGGGCTGGCCAGCACTGTATCTACTGAGACAGGGAAGTACATGGCACATGACTCTGCCACTGTAGATCACACGGTACCTGCTGATGTCTGGTTCCCTGCTGACAAAGGGCAGAAGCCAGACATACAGTTCTTTGGCGCCTCGCCAGGTCTCTTCCTTTAGGTTCCCCAGCTCCCAACTGGGCCAGGTGTCTAGTTAGAAAAGTAATAGAGTAAGCCAGCGTTTCCTGCAAGTCAGTTGTATGTTTGAAGTAGGAAGCATCAGGCAGAGATTCATGTGTGTTCCAGTTTGTCCTTGTGGCCTCCAAACCAGACTCCTGGAGCTCTTCCTCATTTGTGTCTTGTCCTTCTTCCTTGATTGGTTTTCCTGCTCACTCCAGACTTCACACCAGTTGGAAGCACAGCAGAATACAGAATTGCTTAACTACCTCTCGGACCATGAAAAGTCAAATCTTTCTAATCGGTATCGTATTCCTTGCTCCTGCTGATGTGCCTATGGCCAAACCCACCCGATGCCATCTGACTCCAGGTATAAATCTACTAGTGTTCAAGGAACTGGGCTTGAGCTCGTAACCAACCAGAGATGGATCAGCTGAGGTTTGATAAGATCAAGTCATGAAAATACAGTTATAACACCAGACAAGGCGGCAGGAATGGACGGTGAGAAACAAGTCTTCTAAAGAGGCCAAAGCAGCAATTGGAAACATTTAGAATACTGAACAAAGTGTTTGAAGGAACAGACATTGACTTTCTATGTTTAGATGTGTATGTGTTTACATACACTTGTAAAAGTATCTATTTGTATATTTATCTGTATACATAGAGATAGGCAAACAGCACACTGCCCAGGAGCCGGGTTATATTTACATTTATTTAGTCGAGTATCTCTGTGTGTGTGTGTGTGTGTGTGTGTGTGCGTGTGTGCTCGTGCGCTCACATGCGTGCGTGTGCCACCACAGTGGAATTGGCACATTCATGAGACTAACTGGTAACACTGAAGAAGTCTGAGGTAGGAGCCAGCCTGCTGTTTCTCACACACCATCTGACCTGCCCCCTGATTTTTAAAAATCTATTGTTTGCTTATTTTTTTGTGTATTGTTTGTTTCTTGTTTGTTTGGTTCATGAGCTAAGAATAACTTTACATTTTTAAATAGTTGCAAACAGCTCATCTCTAGCCATCATGGTACACACCTGCAATATCAATACTCTGTGGAGCTGAGGCAGGAGGATTGCAGGAATTTTGAGGTCATTCTGGGCCAGAGAGAGGTCAAGGCCCCCATGCAATACATAGTAGAACTCTGTCTCAAACAAACAAACCAATAAGCTGAACACAAGCCTTTGACTGGGCAAGTCAAAGGCCTTAGGGGAAAATGTAGAAACATGTAGGTGTTTTGTTTTACACCTACAGACGTATAGCCTCCCTGTCTCCTATGTACTTACACCTATAGACATATAGCCACCCTATCTCCTACATACTTACACCTATAGATGTATAGCCACCCTGTCCCCTACGTACTTACACCTATAGACATATAGCCACCCTATCTCCTACATACTTACACCTATAGATGTATAGCCACTCTGTCCCCTACATACTTACATCTATAGACATATAGCCACTCTGTCTCCTACATACTTACATCTATAGACATATAGCCACATATACACCCAAGGCCTGCACACGTACAGGGACATGGGGAGAGAGGGAGACTGTTAAGAAGGAAGAAAGAAGTGGGGAGGTAAATCTGACCACCATACGTTTTACTCTTGTATGAAACTGTCAAAACTAAGAAAGGGGAAAGAATGAAAATGAATATTTTAAAGCATTTTATTTCACAATATTTCATACGAATCATATGGCGCCAAGGAAAGCAATGTCCACACATGTAGTTGCGTTGGGGCAAAGCCACTGTCCCTCTTTGCTTGTGATCTGTGGAGGCCCCAGTTCACATAGCTGTGGCGAGCATCTCTTCCATAGCATGGAATGTCTGCTGTAACCCTTTCCAGGAAATCTGCTACATCTGATCTAAAGAAGCCCAGAACTGAACCGAGAAAGAGAATGGGATATTCTTGGAAGAATGCACTAGGGCTGTCTTGAAGATGAGCTAAGAGCTGCAGCTTACCTACCTCCCTGCCATGCTTTCAGGACTGTGAGTGTGTTGGCGTTAACATGCTCATGCCACCCAAGAGCCTCTCGTGGGCAATGCTCTATGATCTGTTTATGGAAACACACAAAAAGACAGAATAACCGCTATGACTTCAATCTCAGCAACAGTAAAAAAGAAATTTGTTCCCAGTTGGAAATAATCTCAGACTGGCATTCCTAAGGTAAGAGGGCCGAAAGTAGATTAATATTATTAGTTTATTAAATATCTTATTTAAGGCACAATACTTTAAAGCTTTAAAACTTACACGAGAAGAGAAAATATAAACAGAGTTCATACCCAGACACCCCCCCTCCACAAACCACCACCACACACATACACCTCTTTTCTTCGTGAATCAGCCGGCACCCAGATTGCTAGTGGTTATTAGAGAGGGTGAGCCGAAGGTCTCCGGGCCCCTGCTCTGCACCCTGTGAAAGGTTAGACAGCTTGCTAATAATAGCTAGGACAGGAGGCGGTGTCTCTGGCCCACTGGGTCAAGAGCTCTGTGTAGAAGACAGTGAATTTTTAGGCATTTCCTTTTGTTTGGGGAATAGCTATGTTTGTTAACTCACTCACAGGTCACATGTTGGGAGGTCTTGTTTGTTAGGGACGAAGTGACATGCCAAGAAACTTACAGGAATAGGGCACCATGCCTGGCTTGGTCATCACACAGCATCAAGCAACACTTCAGCCCCCACTGCTCCTCTGCATTCTCTCCCAGAATAGCCCTCTCTAGGGATCATGGCTCCCGGGGGAGCAGCGCTAAGCATTCTGGGTGCGGCTTCCCAAGGCAAGCCTGACTGTTCACAGCAGCTGGTAGGCAGATACATCCCCCAGCCTCACAAATGTGGGTTCTACGTTATGCAACCAAGGGCTCTCCCCCAATAGTTCCTGAGCATGCCTTCTATGCAGCTATTACCAGGGCAGGGGCACTATCCCTCAGCAGCAGGCCTATGTCATGAAAACCACCTACCCTTCTGATAGTTCTCAAAGGGCACTTGGCTTAGGAGTACCGTGTGCGCGCGCGCGTGTGTGTGTGTGTGTGTGTGTGTGTGTGTGTGTGTGGTCTCACCATATAACTCTGGCATGCCTGGAACTCACTTCTTTGACCTCTTAGCCTCGTGTAATCTGTTGCAGCTCACACGTGCCTGCTCCATCCTCAATGCAGAATCCCAGGTGTCTGAGTTACTTTTCTGTTGCTGGGATAAAACTCCATCCTCAAAAGCAACTTGGGGATGAACGGCTTTATTTCATAACAAAGCTTCTAGTCCATCATCCAGGGAGGTCAGAGCAGAAACTCAAGGTAAGAACCGAGGCAGGCACTGAAGCAGAGACCATGGAGGGACACTGCTTACTGGCTTGCTGCCCATGGCTTGCTCAGAATGCTTTCTTATAGAACCCAGGACCACCAGCCCAGGTGTTGCACTGCCCACATAGGCTGAGCCCTCCCACATAAATTTTCAGCCAAGAAGATGCGCCACAAACCTTCTCACAGGCCGGTCTGGGGGAGCATGCCCTCAACTGAAGGTCGCCATTTCCAGGTGACTCTAGCTTTGTATCAAACTGACGTAAAATCAGCCGGTACATCAAGCAAAGGCTCAATTTTGAGTTCAAGGGAAGTTATTTGACACCTAGGCATAAGGAGCATGCTGGAGGCATCTATGCCTTCTGCCCTCAACTCCTCAGTCCCTCTACAGTCCTTCCCTAAGAATTGCTACTGCATTAGTTAGGGTTCGCTAGAGTAATAGAACTCAGAGGATGAAGCTCTCGCTCTAATCTCTCGCAGGTGTGCTCTCCATCTCTGGACTCTAGTTCATTCCAGACGTAGTCAAGTGACAACCAAGGAAGCCATCACAGCTATCGTACTTTCGGGTCTTTTTTTTTCTTTAGGTTCACATGTATAAAGGACAATATATAGTTCTGGCCGTTCTGACCCTGCTGTCCTCTGGATCCCACCATTCGACTGCAAATAGCAAGTTTCCATTCTTGCTCATGGTGAATAATAGTCCACCTCAAATTCCTCTTTCCATTCATCTGAGCATGTGCACTCCCATTGATTCCTGTATCTTGGTTATTGTGAATAATACAACATCATGTACATTTATCACGTACTTTTCAGGTCTCTTTTGTATGCTAACTTCCTTTCCTGGGGATGAACACCGGTGGTTGGGATGGTTGAATCACATGGGAAAGATCCCCTGATGTTTGACGAAGAGCCTACCTCCAGCAGGGCTTCAACGAGATGAACTCTGGGTGGGCAGAGAGAATGATCCTGAGGGTTAGGGGGGGTGCTTGCTCCCTCTCAACGCTTCTACTCGCTGAGGTAGGAGTAAGCTCGCCACAAGAATCTGTAGTGAGAATGGATAAGCAAAGTCATAAAAATATAGATTCACATTGTATAATACAGGACAAAAATAGTCTGCTGTTAAAAATAGCCATTGAACATATCCCTAATCTCCCAGGGCTTCTGGGAGGTCTACATTGGCCTCTGCTTCCTCCTTGGCCCACTTCCTTAGCATTTGATGAGATCATGCTTTTCTTAGCTGATGATGGAGGAAATCCTTGGATTGCAATGGTAGGTGACATTGTATAGGAATCTTTGTGCCACTTTTGAAGTTCACATCATAGTTAGAATAGTAAGATGTCCATGCTGCTGGGCAGTGTTGGTGCACACCTTTAATCCCCAGCACATAGGATACAGAAGCAGGTAATTCTCAATGAGCTTGAGGCCAGCCTGTGCTACAGAGAGTTTCAGAACAGCCAAGACTCTGATATAGAGAAACCCTGTCTCAGAAGACAAAGAAAGAAGATGCCCATGCTATAGGAAGCGCTCACATTTACTTTGTACAATGGCAGCCAATGTAAACCTGGCTGCTGACTTCTCAAATCAGAACTTGATGTCACTCACATGGTGGAAGGTCCCCATACTGAAGGGGATGTGTCCAGTGGCTGGCGGAAGCCTGAGACGAGGCTGAATTGTCATGGGTCACAGGTTTTTCTGGAGCCAGAGAGAAAGTGAGGATGTGAGGAGATAAGAGGTGAGGAGATTTGAGACACGTGCCTGGGAGGGTGCAGATTTCCACCCCAGAGGGTCCTGGCACTGGATGTTTGAAGCTGTGGTCTGGTACTCAATAAGAGGACCTCTGGTTTCAGGGGCCATTGGCATGAGCAGATCCATGGGGGTGAACAGAGCTCTCTCAAGCGGGCACTCTCCTGGTAGGCATGGCCTGCAACAGGCGGCAGAATTTAACCTCAAGTAGAGGCTGAATTCCTGTCATGGTTCTCCCTCTCCACTCAGTACACACCAGAGCTCAGAGTCACACACCCTGGTAAGAGCCATGCAGAGGGAGATGAGTGAAGGCCAAGGTGAACCCTCCTCTTGGCTGTGTTGCTCTCTGAGCTTGGACCCGTGTAAGGAGGTAGGGGGTGCTGAGATTCCAGGCAGCCACTCGGGACTGTGTCACATGTGCTGGTCTCCAGAGCAGTCCTTGATTCCCACCAATAATCCCTGAGACAGAAACACTGATTCTCCTCTTACTGAATGAGAAGACCCGCTTCCTCGTGAGTGTAGTGCTTGATTGATGGGTACTTGTTCAGAATTCAGCAATGAATTCAGTCCTAGAAAAGGACTATTTGGCCCTGAGGTGCCAGCTTTACATTCCCCAAACCTTTCATTGCCTGAGTGTGTAATTCTATTACTGTAAGTATAGGCCATCAATATCATCGCTGTGCTTAAAGCCTGTGCATGTGTGGGGGTGGGTACTGAGGATCAACCACAAGATCTTGAACCTACAAGACAAATGCTCGTTGAGCAACCCACTCCTGTATGGCAATGTCTGCATACACCTTTTGACCTCAAGTGTCTTCCTCTACCCCTCAAGCCCTCTCTACTTTAGTTTTCAGAGACAGAGTCTCTCACTGAGCCGCTCTTTCAGTTGGGCTGACTGAGCACCAAACCTCAGAAGTCACCTGCTTCTCTGTGCTCAGTTACTGTGTGCTGCCAGGACTGGCTTTTCATGCGGGTGTTGGGGATCCGAACATGGGTCTTGATGCTTGCATGCAAACACTTTACCCTCTGAGCCAGCTCCTCAGCCCCTGCAGGGTAGTGTAAACTGTTGCAATAGGAGCGGCAGGGCTGCGTCCCCGGCACCCAGCCGCCCACATGGCTAGCTTATGCCCAAAATAATTACACGGAAACTGTATTCTTTCAAACACTGCCTGGCCCGGCTAGTTCCAGCTTCTTATTGGCTAGCTCTTACATATTGTTCTAACCCATATCTAATATTCTATGTAGCCCAAGAGCTGGCTTACCAGGGAGGATCTTAACCTGCGTCTGTCTGGAGCGGGAACATCATGGCGACTCCTCCACTAAGCTTCTTTCTCCTAGAATTCTCTTCTGTTTTCTCCACCCACCTAAGGGTGGGCCTATCAAGGGGCCTAGGCAGTTTCTTTATTAATAAGATATCACTCCCACATCAGTAAACAGTCATTACACTCACAGAGAAGACTCTCCAGGCAACCCCCACACGGGCTGAGTCCAAAGTCTGGGAATCTGAAGAGAGTCTAAGGCCGAGGTTGGCTCTCTAGAGTTCCCGTCACATCAGCTTTGCAGAATAACCCAGGCAGGAACAGGTCCACTCTGAACGAGTTAACTAAGCCACGTTTCCAGGCATTTATTACTCTACAATGACAACAGCGGCATTTTATTATATACCTTGCTGGCTCCCAGACACATTCTAGAGGGCTGATACTGATGTGTGGGAAAGGACAATGTAGAAATTTCCCTGGGGCGAGGTCACTAGGTTCACCATGACATTGGGAAATAGATCTAGAATGTTCAGGAACAGATGCGGTCAAGAGTATTTCAGAGCCATAGCCTGGCAATCAGTATCATCTGGTCTTCTTATCATAACCCCAGCATGCTCTCCACCGCTGTCTGTGTTAATGCCCTGCTTCTGACCCTCCCTCCACCCAGCGTTGATGCTGACTCATTCTTCCCATAGACAGGGGATGTCCCAGGCCTGTGTCTTCACCTGTGTTACTTAATCTCGGTTCCCAAGGCAACTCAATGACAAACACACTCAGAAGGCTAATACTCAATTGTAACTCTGCCTTTAATGGACAGGAAACCAGAATTTTGGTTATATCCTAGCAAAGATGCTATCTTTTCTTCTCGCAGAGGCGTCCAAATGCTCATCACTTGCAATTTTTCTCAGTCATCAGTAAGGAATTTTTAAAATTATTTGTTTGTTCTTATTTTTCTATTTCATGTGTGTGATTAATGTTTTGCCTGAATGTATATATGTGCACCTTCTGTGACTGGTACCCAAAGACAGAAAAGGTCATTGGATCCCCTGGAACTGGAGTTACAAAGGGTTCTGTGTGGGTGCTCAGAATGTAACCTGGGTCCTCTGCAAGAGCATTCAGTGCTCTTAGTCACCGAGTCGGCTCTCCAGCCCATGTAAAAACATGTTTAGTTATATGTATATGTGTATATCTTAGTATGGGTTTGTGCATGTGAGTATAGTGTCCCCAGAGGTCAGAAAAGGACACCAGATGCCCTGATGAAAAGGTCCAGAGGTCCAGAAAAGGACCTGGAGCTAGAGCTACAGGTGGTTGTGAGCCTCCTGATGGGGATGCTGGGAACTGAACTCAAGTTCTCTGCAAAAACAGTATGAGCTCTTGGGCACTGAGTCATCAACTGCAGGCTTCGGTCTTAAGGATTTGTAAAGTTCCCACTGTCAGCCACTCTCCTGTCCAAGTGCTCTCCTAGACACTGTAGACATGGTGGGGAAAAAAAAACATATGCTAAACCATGTTTTTCATGAACAATCTTAAACAGACACCATACTATGTAATGTTGAGAAATGATTTCAGTTCCCCACTGAGGACCTCTTTTGAAAACATACAATCACACACTAACTCCCTCTCCTGTCACTCAGCTGATGCTCGGGAACTACTCGGAGATGTCCTTCTATTCATGACTTCTTCAGTAAGAGGAGCAATGTAGGGAATTGTCTCAAGTTCTAGTTCAATACTTGACCTTGACTGCTATTCTCTGAAGGATACTTGGGACATTATCTTTAATTCTGAAATGTGGTTTGTGACTGGCTCAGCAGTTGAGATACTTTCTGCTCTCCTAGAGGACCCAGGTATGGTAGCCATGTATCAGCTCACAACCACCTATAACTTTTGCTCCAGGAGATCCAACACTGTCTTCAGATGTGCACATGTGTCCACAAATGTGTGGCTTGGACACAGACACCTAAGCATAATTTTCCTAAAAGAAGTTTTATATTACCTTTGAACATTAAATTTTAAGGGTTCATTTATTTTATTTTATGTGTATTGCTAAAGTTTTGTGCATGTATGTATGTGTACTGTAAGTATGCCTGGTACCAGCATAGATCAGAAGAAGGTATCAGGTCCCTTGGCAGTGGAGTTACAGAAGGCTGTGGGCCAACATGTGGGTTCTGGGAGCTGGAGTCAGAATTTCTGTACAAATAAGAAGCACTCTTAACCACTGAGCTATCTCTCCAGCTTCCTTTATTCTTATATAGCAATCATAAGAGTTGAGAAATTGGGACTAGAAAGAGGCTCAGTGGTTAAAAGTTCTTACTGTTCTTGTGGAATAACCAGGTTCAGCTCCCAGGACCCACATGGTGGATGACAATCATTTCTTTTTTTTGTTTTTATTTATTTATTTATTTATTTATTTATTTATTAAAGATTTCTGTCTCTTCCCCACCGCCGCCTCCCCTTTCCCTCCCCCTCCCCCAACCAAGTCTCCCTCCCTCGTCAGCCCAAAGAGCAGTCAGGGTTCCCTGCCCTGTGGGAAGTCCAAGGGCCACCCACCTCCATCCAGGTCTAGTAAGGTGAGCATCCACGAAACTGCCTAGGCTCCCACGAAACCAATAGGTACAGTAGGATCAAAAACCCATTGCCATTGTTCTTGAGGTCTCAGTAATCCTCATTGTCCACTATGTTCAGCGAGACCGGTTTTAACCCGGGCTTTTTCAGACCCAGACCAGTTGGCCTTGGTGAGTTCCTGATAGAACATCCCCATTGTCTCAGTGTATGGGTGCACCCCTCGCGGTCCTGAGTTCCTTGCTTGTGCTCTCTCTCCTTCTGCTTCTGATTTGGACCTTGAGATTTCAGTCCGGTGCTCCATTGTGGGTCTCTGTCTCTGTCTCCTTTCATCGCCTGATGAAGGTTAATATTCAGGAGGAAGCCTATATGATTTTCTTTGGGTTCTCCTTCTTATTTAGCTTCTCAAAGAACCTGAATTATAGGCTCAATGTCCTTTATTTATGGCTAGAAACCAAATATGAGTGAGTACATCCCATGTTCCTCTTTTTGGGTCTGGCTAACCTCACTCAGGATGGTGTTTTCTATTTCCATCCATTTGCCTGCAAACTTCAAGAAGTCCTTGTTTTTTACTGCTGAGTAGTACTCTAATATGTATATTCCATACTTTCTTCATCCATTCTTCAATTGAAGGACATCTAGGTTGTTTCCAGGTTCTGGCTATTACAAACAATGCTGCTATAAACATAGTAGAGCAATCATTTCTAACTCTAGCTCCAGGGAATCTGCTGCCCCCTCTGGCTTCTGCTGGCACTGCATACCCACGACGCACATACGCACATACGCACATACTCTCAGAAACACAATCCTCATAGAATAAAGTAAATGTCAAAAAGAAAGTTGAGAAGTCTACTAATAATTACAGAAATATGCAAAGAACTAAAAATAAGATAACGAAAACATACTATTTGACTAGCATTATCAAAATATTCTAAATATTTGTTATCATTGTTGTTGGTTTGTTTTTGACAGGATGTTAGGTAGCCCAGGATAGTTCATGGGTATTCCTCACTGTCAGCATCTTCCTTCTCTCTAAAGAAACTGTCTTACTGAATCTAGAAAGACAACAGGTCAGTCACAAATGCTATTCTCTATTTTGCAGCATATAGAATTCTAGGTTAGTATTTTTTTCTCTCTCAAAATTTTACTTTTCTCACTTGCATGGTTTCCTCAGAAAAGCTAAATATCATTTCTCTATTGGTCTCCAGTGAAGTGTTCTATATTTTTCTTTTAGCACACACACACACAGAGAGAGAGAGAGAGAGAGAGAGAGAGAGAGAGAGAGAGAGAGAGAGAGAGAAACCTTTGATTTGTGAATGTCTCAAGGATAAGATAATTTGGGAGAGGTGATGTCGCTGCTACTGGGCATTTTAGCCAGTCTACCTTAGGACTGGAATGACAGAAGGGGGAAGGAATTGTAGGGTAGCTCTTTGGGCATGGCTGGGGTTGCCCGCTGAGAACTGGGACTTCTGGGGAAGGCTGTCCCAGGGAGGAAGAGAGCCAAGGGAACCAGCTCTAGCCACCAGTCCTGTCTTCCACACCCACACTTCAGTGGCCTTCTTTTCTACTGCTATCTAATCATATTTATCAGCAAGTGACAGGGAAGCCAGCTACAGCCATAGAAAAGGATGGGACAGGGTGGTTCTTGATAAAGCAGAAAATGGCCAGGAAGTGTGTCTGAGGAAAAAACGGGAAGTGGCGACCCACTCCGCGGGAGCCCTTTGCCTTCAGCTGTGGAGACTGTAGAGGCAAACGGACGCCTGTGGACAAGCGGCCTCTGCCAACAGTGGAAGGTTTGAAGATCCAAACCGTGGTCTTGGTTTGACTTTCTTTGAACAGGGCAGATAGGAATCAGATCACTTTGCTTCAAAACATTCCCTGAGCATTTTGGAAAATATGAAAATATGCCAAAAAAAATGTCACAGAACTAGAGTCAGGTTGGCACCTTGGACGTCCTATGCTTCCGATCCTTTCAGAGGAGGGTCGTTGCATGTGGAAGAAACCAGAAAACGACTCACCAGTGAGAGATGAAGAATCTTCACATCTGATTGCTCCTCTTTGGAAAGCTAAAGAGAGCAGAGAAGCCAGCAGACCTACAACCAGGGCTCCTGTCTCTATGTTATTGTTAAGCAAATAATCGGCAAGAGAAAACAAACATTCATTTTTCCGGCCGTTCCGGGGTGTGATCCCAAGTCCTCCCATTCCGCGCACTTCTGAAATGCCGGGCCTTCTTTCTGCACCCCTCCCCTTCTCTTATCCTTCCAGAGCTCCACCCTTCCTCACACGTTGTTCTTGCTTAATAAAGTGGGAACCGATGCCTTCTGCCCCTCTCCCTGGAATAATTACATCAGCCTGTTGTTATTGATTTGGTTGCTAAGACCCACGAATCCGCTCCCGTCCCACCTCGGGAGTGGTGGGAAGAGCAAGCAGGTCCTTAAGATTTTTCCCATAAACCAGATGTTTTCTCCAACTCTTGCATTTTCAAAACAATTTCCCTGAAGAAAGATTAGCAAGAATGCCAAAAGCTAGATCTTGTTTTCTTGGCATACCATGAGGTCACACCCAAACGTCTGGCAGTTCCTGCCTGTGAGCCAGCATGTTTTCAACTTGTTTCTTAAATAAGCAAAGTTCTGCCATCTTCTCGGTGATTCCTTTTCAGTGACCACCGGAAACGTGAAGCAGCACCTTGGAAGCCATCTCCACTCAACACCCCCCAACATTCCTGTGTGGTGGGCTAACATACATTTATTAGTCTCTCAAATGCTTCGGCTTTGAGAATTTCTCTAAGACCTTCTCTGAAGTGGTCAGCTGTACCAGATCAGCTGGAATTTCTTCTCAGAATATGTAGCATGGTCTATCCTATCTGACAACTCAGGAGAACCCTGGCCCAGCTGGTGTCTCCAGGGACCAGACAGGCGCTGAGTGAAGTGGTCATCAACTCCAGAAGTCATGTAACCTGAGTGCAACCATTTGCTGTCACAGCCGCTCTTAACCAGGGCCAAGTTTGTTCCCTACACCCTGGCCAGGGAGTACTTGGCAGAGTCTCAATGTACTTTTGGTTTGTGCAACTGTAGGCCGTGGGTGCTGTCGGCTTCCCGGGGGTGGAGTCCAAGAATGCTTCTAAATTTTTACATTGCACAGGAGACTCTCCACACATAATTCTGTGACCCAAAATGCCAATAGAGCCTCCCACAATGGCTGAGGTGGACTTGAGGGCACTAGCACATCATAATCTTTCTGCAAATTTATTTATTTATGAATTCATCGTGTGTGTGGTATGTATGTGTGCACATGTGAGTGTGCATGTCTGTGGATGTGCATGCACATGTGCACGTGTGTAATATGTATGTATGAACCTGTGTGTGTATGTGTCTGGATGTGCACACCACACTTCTGTCCGCACCCACGAGCACATGTGGAAATCAGAGGATGATAGAGTCTCTTGCACTAACACTTTTAGCCCTGTTCCCCTCACAGGATCTCTCATTGAATCTGAAACTTGCCATTTGGGTTAGGCTGTCTGGCCAGTGAACTTCCTGGATATATCTGTGTCTGCCCCCCAGAATGCTAGGGTTACAGGCACACTTGGCCATGCCTGACTTTCCATGGTTTCTGAGGATTTGAACTCAGGTCCTTCTGCCTATGCAAGTGCTCTTACCCACTGGTCCATCTCCCTAGCCCTTGATCACAGTTCCTGTCTGCATGCCACGCTCTGGAGTGCTGTGTCCAGGCCATGTCACCCACACTGTTAGTGTTGGCCACTGATCCTGTTACCTGTAGTTCATGCTATTTTCTGATCTTGCTCATGTTCCTCCCTTTTCCCCATCTTTCCAATATTGCCCATCTCTAAAAGGTTGTTAATTTTAGGAATTTGGTGAGACTATATTTAAAAATGATTTACAAAAATGCTTACCTGAAGTCCAGAACACATTTTAAAGTCTTGGCATTCGAAGAAATGGAGGACAGCGTCATTGGAAGGATACGGAAGTGGCCTGGGCTTGGGGCTATGACCTCAGCATCAACCAGCCCTGGAGCTTAGGCTGTTGGAGTTGTAGGACATTTGTCTCTTTCTCACGAAGACAAGCTCTTAGTAAGATGCAGAGCCTGGAGACCGTCGGGCTAGCTGGGGTTATGAGAGGTATGAAGCACTATTGAGCAAACAGACTGGTGTTACAGTAGAGCCGATAAAATTTTAAACAGCTGCTTTCAGAAGTGCCTCTTTCTGACTTGTCCTCATAAGTCTGTATTCGTCTTCCTTTATTCATTCTGATGTCCTTTCCTACCATCTTCAGACGTGGCATCTGGCCTTACCTTCTCCCCCTCCTCCCATAGACCAGGGAGGGAGATGACCCCGTGAATGCAACAGGATGGCCATTTCTGCTTCCCTTCTACAGTTGAACTCGTTTGAGACAATGCTCTCATTTAATCTGTCTTGATTTTTCTTGATCTTGGAGAAGCTCTGCTTAGATGATTAAGTTGCTACAAATAATACACTGTTGCTCTCCTCTCTGTACCTTGACATGTGGTTTGCTGTTTGATTGGACAGAGTCTCCAAACCACAAGGATGCACAAGTTTCCCAGTCAGACATTTCTGGGCAGCTCTTATGCTCCTGGCAGAAACTGAGTTCTGAAGGGTGGAATACTGAATGAACCACAGAGAGGAGCTCCTAACAGACCCACAGGGCGAACTGCCCTCACACATTCTAGTGGGAGGAAGACCAACTGAACAGCTCAGAGAAAAAATGATGTAGGCCTACAGAGCTCAGAGTCTTTGCAGAGTCAGCGGCAGGGTGGTCAATCAGCTTTCCATTACTGTAACCAATACTTGAGCTAATTGGCTACTCAATTTATAAAGCACATAAATTTATGTTTTCATAGGTCTCAGAGATTCCAGGCTGATCCAATGACCTCGTTGCTTTCGTGCTTTGACTTGAGGCCACACAACATGAAGGGAGAGTGTGCCCGAGCAAAATCAGTCACCACAGGGAACCAGCCCAGAAGCAATGCACAGAAAGAGACTGGCTCCCTGTTTCCCTTGGAATGTATGTCCCCAGTACCCTTATTAATGCCCACCAACCCCTACATCTCAGAGGCTCTAACGCCTCCCAAAGTACCAAGCTGAAGATGATGCCCATTGATCCAGGGGCCTCTTGGGGACGTTTGAGGTCCCAGTGACAGAAACTGAGGTGGAAATGAGATGAAAACAGCTGATGGATAGAAAGAGAGGAGGGGAGGGCTTCCAAGCCAAGTGCTGTGAGGCGCTTCCTTCCAAATGGAACATTCCTCGTGGAGGGAGGAAGAAACTCATTTCAGCTTAGGACACACTTTATTTACAATAAACCCAATGCTCGCTGGTATTCTACAGGGAACCACGAGTAAAAAACCCTCTTTCAAAGAATAAATAAAATAAACAGATTAAAAAGAACAAACATTCCCACTTTAAGTCATAGTTTCTAAAGGATAACTTTAACCTAAATCCTTCTGCTCTGGCTTCTCCTCTAAATGCAATGCTCTCCTTCAGTATTATAGGGATATTTTTTTAACCCTGATTTTGCCCTTTGGCAGTTGCCAGTCTTAATCTTTTGAAATTGTGTTTGCTTTCTCTTCCTTGATTCCAGGTACTCATGCTACATTCTGTGCAATTATTTTTTTCCTTGCCATTTTCACCCCTAACAGCAGTGTCTCTATGTCAGCCCCACACTGTCCTTCACTGAACATAACTCCAATCTGGGCTAGACAAGCTGATTACTGTTTGCCTGGTAAATTTTAATGATGGGATGGGAATTGATTAAAACAATCCTTCCCCATTATACTCTTATAAAGACCTCAGTCAGAAGCCTTCCTCAGTCAGAAATTTTCTTATTTCTCAAATGAAGGGTACTTCAATTCTCCCATATAAATTTTAAATTGCCTTGCCATTTTCTTAAAGTTTTTTCCGTATTTTTTTACTTATAGACCATTTTTAAAGATCCAATATTTGTACTGTTAAGTCCTTGCAAATGTATTTTAAAATATGTGACTTCACATTTTTCCCAGCTGTTATCGGCATTCTATGGCCGAACTTTAAAGCCTTTCTCCTGTCCTGCAGCAGGTAAGTTTAACCCCAAAAGGAGTATAGTTTTGTCATTTCATGGGCCCGTGTTGTGAGTAGCATCATAATCTTTGTTTGTGATTTCCCACTTACTATACTGAAAAGGAAGACAAATTTCTGTTTACCTCATCTCCTATGATCTCACAACTCTAATCATTTCACGGTTTTTCTTGATCTGGGAGAACCTTGGCCTGGATGACAAAGTTGCTGCATGTAATGACACCTTTGTCACCTCCCTCTGTACGCTCTGGCAGCACTCCACTCTCTAATTGGATAGAGCCCCCAAGGCCATGTCGCACTGTGTAGGGATGAAAGAGCTCCCCATCATTTTGGGGGTTCTAAGAGAAAACAGATCCGAAGTGTCTCATTGTGTTTGATGTGTGCCTGAGTTTCTGGGAGAGCTTTTCTGAGGTGGAGCTATGTCTCTCTGATCACACCTTTGAGAGAGTCACCCAAATCAATATGTATTGAATTTTAAGGCATTTTTAATAAAACAGATGAGATACAAAGAGGGACTCTTTCCCTTCAATCTATACTGTGTTTACCAGGATCAGTATTAAAGCAAGCCAAGAGGGTGCATAGGACACCAAAACCAGGAAGGGCTTGTCATGAAGACAGTGCCCCCATAGAGAAAAGACACTGCCTCTACCTCAAAGATACCACACCCCTCACCCTAGTCCCTAACCAGGGACAATTAACACATACATTATCTAATATTGAACATTGAACTTTTTTCCCATTCTCTGGAGAAACTCTTATTGGTTGAGATATATTCTAATTTTGAATGTGACTCAGTTTTTTTTAACTTTTATTTAATGAAGGGAAACATGCATGCCACAACACACATGTGGCAGGCAGAGAAGAGCTTGGGTGGAGTTGGTTCTCCCAACACTATAAGGCTTCCAGGAATTGAGCTCCAGACATCAGGCTTGCGGCAAACGCCTTCATCGGCTGAGCAGTCTGTCAGTCCTGATTCTCATTTTAATTAGACTATGGGCAGCACTTATTGTAAGTGAAGGGCACTGATAATTCCCCTTCCTTTGTGGGGCTTATCAATTTTGGAATCTTAGCAATTAAAATAAGGAGAGGATTTCTGTTCCTTCCTGGGTCTTTGAAATTGTGTGCATTACAGCATTAACCAGTTCCTCTGTGACTTTCTAGGT